TTTATACAAATTACATCGTCAGTTTCTCGAAAATGTTAATAGCTCTTTTGTCAGAGTCATTTGTTTCAACAAACAAGCTTGCTTAAGATACGTAATATTACAAAATAACATGAAATGAAAATTATATTTTAATTCTCATCTTAATATTTATTAGTTCTAATATGACTTATTTCATAATATATGTGGGTTGGTAGATCTTGACAATCTAGACATACTAACGCGTCATTCGGTTTTGAGTGTGGTTAAACGATTCCATTGGCTATAGTTAAAATAAACATAGTTATTATTTAACGTATAATTGTATGTATATTATTTAACGTATAATTGTATATAGCGTCGGGAGTATGTAGTTTTTACAATGATAAAATACGCGTAGGAATCCGAAAATATTAGTTTCATTTAAAAATAGATGGAGACTAATGAGTAATTTCTTTAAATTTCAAGATAAATCATATCTTTTTATATATTAAATATTTTGGTGCAATATATAATTATTTGTAATAGATGCAAATCATAAAAATTTATAAAAATTAACGAGCTATTTATATGTCATGACATTAAATTGTTAATCTGACATCAATATTAAATATTTAAAGTTCTTGCAATATTTTAAGTATTACTTTTTCAATTATAAAATATGATGAAATTGTGTTGTGAAGAAACGACATAAAAGTATAACAAAAACAAAACTTCACAAAAATCTGTTACTTAATAGCTCTACAATAATTCTTATTCCTAAACTAGCTTCTAAAAGACAGACGAAGAATTCTGTGTGCCTACCACAAGTGTCAATGCTAAGTTAAAACAGATCGTTTCCAGTCTTCTTCATAAATCTTAGCATAATAGTACTGTTGAAGCTTCGCTCCCTGTAATGGACCCGGCATCCACACGGTAAATACATTGAATGATAAAAAGTTTCGTCTGGTCTTAACAATTGAGATGGTAGATTATCAAGGTGGTAGAGCCTAGCTGTGTTCAGTTACTACAGCTCCAACATGGGCTGGCTCGACCGTAAGTACCACCCTCTCACAGAAGATCGGCGTGAAGTAGCCTTTACTGACTGCGTTTCGTCCGATGAGTGAGAGAAACGGTTGCCACTTTCCCTATTTCCCACCCTTTCCTACCATTTCCTTATTCCCACCCCTCCCTATTCCTACAAAAAAGAAGGTTGGAAACGCGTCGTAAATAGTTAGATGACAAACTTGTAGTAATAATGAGACGAAATAATATATTTTTCAAAGCTGATTTAAACATCAGTAACGGGCATAAATTGTCAGGAATCTGTTCTTGAATGAAACGCACGTACCAAAGGTTGATCGAGTTCGTCACACCTTACATTTAAATAAACAAATATAAATATTATTTAACCACGAACAATCTACTAGAATTTTCAATTTTTTTCGTCCATTACAAGATAAAGACTTTTCATTTTATTTCAGAATATGGAAGAAGCAATAAGGTTGTGTATCAGTGAAAGTATTGTTCAAATTCCAATCGCCATAGAATTAATTTTAAATTTGATATAATATTTATTAGAATGGCTCAGAAAACTTTATTTTACGCCTATAAACGTAGTAATTGTCATTTAACAATTATACTGGCGTGAGTCAGTTAATCGAGTTATCATACGCCTAAAATGTCTCACATTATTTTGAAAAAACTTCTGTTAGACCACAAGACTGATTTTAAACAAAGGTAGGTAGGAACTATCATAAGGAACTTATTCAAATGAAAAAACTGCTTCAACTTCGTAGGTAATTCTGTTTAGGAACTACGATGACACGGACAGACACACACAGTAAATAAAGAAAATAAAATCATTAAAATCTGTTGACATTATAAAATATATATACATTTTTAATTATTTGCAAAATTTATTAATGGATTTCTTCCAATGAACAAAATCGTTAATCAATATCTAATTTATTGAGTATCAATAAGATGTAAAAATTTCGCAAATGTTACTGCAAAGTAACAAAACGTCGAGAGCATATTATTGTTAAAATAATAATGAATCATAATAAATCTGAAAATATTATTTTAATTTACTGAATATACTCCTTTCAGAGCCAATTTAACTATGTATTATTGACATTCACATCTTGTCTACTTGTGATCACGTCGGGAGTATGTAGTTTATATCTAATAACAAATTACGCGTAGTATAATCTAAAACTATTAGTTTCATTTAAATGTATAATGATTTTTCATTAGTCTAACACAAGTTATCTAAAGCATCCTTTTAAGATGTGCTTGTAAGCCATGAACTTAAGTAGCATAACGTTAATTATACAGCATGTTTAAAAACCAATTTTATATAGAACAAGACGAGTGTAGTTGCTCAGGAGTAGTGAGTGTGAAGATGAATAGATACCATCTCGGATAAGCGCTATTAATTCAGCAACGCTTTCACCAAGTTTCATATGGACGTTAAAATTGAGATGTTAGAACGGAGTTTATAAATACGATGCATAGAAATACATGTTAGGAAAGAATAATATATTTTTTGATATAAATTATTCTTCTTAAAAGTATATATAACGAAAATTAATATAGGTTTTTTAATAGAAAACATGAATATTAAACATCAATGTTCGTACATGTAATACTGACAAAATCTTGCTGGATATTTGACTTATCAACATAAGACCGCACAATATTACAGCAATATCTTCTATATATATAAAAATGGATTGCTGTTCCTTAGTCTCGCTAAAACTCGAGAACGGCTGAACCGATTTGGCTAATTTTAGTCTTGAAATACTCCTGGAAGTCCAGGAAAGGTTTAAAAGGTGAGAAAAATTGGAATAATTGCCGGGAAAACTCTAAAAACAGACCTTTTCTATTTCCCATACAAACGATTTTTTGACATTAGACTTGACAACTAACTAATATGTCAATCATTCTGTTCAATTGAAACAGTAGAAATTTAATAAATACCAATACCGGGTTATTGAAGAAGGAATAGAGTTTACCCGGTCAGCTATACCTATATTACTAATGACTAAATTAACGCGGACGAAGTCGCGGGCAAAAACTAGTTTAGTAATAAAAAAATAAAGTATATGGTAAATCTTTCGATACAAAAACTTACGAAATATTCATAATATCATTTATACAGAAGTCTGTAAATAAATTGTATCTAAGCTACAATATATGTAGATTAATCTAGATGACCGTACATACAGTGGCTATACCGTTACTTTACGTGATAAGACAGTTAGATCAAACAAAAAGTAAAGATCTCGGGCGGGTGTGGAACTAATCGTTTGATATGATAGAATTTCTAATATACTTATAATATAATTCTATTAAAACACTATCATTTGTAACGACAGTTTCTTTAACTGTTAGAGATTTTAGAAATTGTTGATGATTGCGTTTGACTTACTTTGCAATATATATGTACCCTACTCATTTATAATTTCTACCTGGCAATTTCCCAGCTTTAGCCAGGGTCTGCCTTACATGTTGAGAATAGTTTTAGCTAATTGTTTTTTTACGACCGACCGCCTGCCTGATATCTACCCTCTTTGGGAATGCATTAATCAGTGATGTCTAAATACTCTTAGAAAATACATACATATGACTCAGAAAAATCACATTGGTACTTCCCAGGATCGATCATGAGAGGCGGGCCTTTTAACCACTAGGCCACCACTGACTCATTTATAATATGATTAAGAAACTCGATGTTTTTTTTTTTTTTTTTTGCCAAAAATGCCAAGAAAACAGACATCCTATCTAATGAAAGGTCGCATTTCAGCATCGCGCATGAAAATCTGCATAATAAGGTATGTTGCAGATGTGTTAACCTATATTATGATTGAGGGAGAAAGGGTGGGAAGAGGAAAAGGGCAACCGTCTCTCTCACTCATCGGACTAAAGCCATTAAAGATTACTTCACGCCGATCTTCTATGAGAGGGTGGTACTTCCCCGGTCGAGCCAGCCTATATTCGAGCTGTAGTAACTGAATACAGCTAGACTCTAACACCTTTAAAGCATATATCTAAGGTCGAGTAAAGCATACAAATAAATCGTATAAAACAAAGTAAGTAAATTATTATCTACTGTATCAATTACATTTATACGGTACAAATGACACACGTCTAAGACAAAACGCATCAGAACCTACGATAATAACTGACACACTAAACTATAACAGGCTAATAACTTAAAGTACTGAAGTATTCTTAGAACGAGTTGGCATTGTCTACTTTAAACTGAGCGTTTGTAGTCTTTTATCAAACTATGTTGGTCATATCGTATGCGTATATAAAAGAATTAAAACATAATTATTCCAGTTAATTACTACTATGTAAGCGTTTGTACTATGTTTTTAGTGACTATTTGATAAAATACAGGGTGACTGGTGAATTACTATCAATATTTAAGGAGAATACTCGGTACATGATTCTCATTCGAATTATGTAAAAAAAATAGGCACTTAATTTTTGACAAAATTTCCGTATAAATAAGTAAAGTGTTGACACGTTCCAAGTGTTCAAGTGTGGACGCGTGCGGCGGCGTGCTGATACAACACTACGTCACGACATGCGTATGTGTGAGTGTCAGTGTATACCTAATCTGTAGGGTGTTCATACGATGCGTAATTAATTACATAACTTTTGGTTAACTTTACTTAGAAGTTTATTAATATTTATGTTATATTAATTTTTATTTCGTCATATATGATCGTCAAATATCACGTCCTCAAATATCGATAGTAATTCACCAGTCACCCTGTATATGTAGAATAAGAAGTTAGTTAGCGTGGGATAATATAAAGAAAATCTCGTCCCGATAGTGACAAATGACAATCCTCATAAAGATTTTAATGTACCAATTTCCTTTTAAAATTTGTTGCGAAAATGAAAACTATAGATACATGTACCCATCTTATTATTGAAACTGACTACTATTGTGATTATAATGAACTTGACTCTTATTTTTGAATAGTGTAATTATAGCTAAATTAATGGTAGTAAATAGTACTTACGAAACATCTGGAGTGCTATTAGCTAGCAGTCGCACGCAATCCAAGCAGCCTCTAGCAGCCGCGTAGTGGAGCGCCAGGGCTCCGTTGTTGGCCCGTCCACCCGCCATCGCACGACCACACCACCAACCCTCCACAGCCAATCGCCCACTCCTAGTTAAAACATCCAACTATTAATCCTACGACTTTATTAAGTATTTAAAATGATTTTCACAGCTAAAGAGCTATTAACAAGTAAAGCAATCAAAACAATGAGATTCTTCATACTTAAAATACAATACGGCGCCATAAACAAATTCAACTTAAGTGAATATGATGAATAGGACGGTAAACTGCAATAAATTAACAAGATGGACATTAACGCGACATAAGTCTTACCGCCATCTATCAGGAAATAGCGCAACTATCAACTCGTCGCACAGCCAGTAGTGTTTTCAATAGCGCTCCTACTGTCTAATAGATGGCGCTACTAAATTAATATCAAAGAAAAATATACCTATTTAAAATTATTATTACTGAAACATAATATAAAAAAATTAATATGAAGTTAACATTTTATAGACCAGAACTGAGAATTAAATGCCAATATTAAAACTTTATTTTGGTGCCATATATTTTAATAAGCACTTGCTATAACCGTTATATACAACCTATTTGGAGGTACCGTAGATTTAAACTGTTCCATAAAGTAACCGGTAGTACGGGACCCGATCCCATCGCCGTCTCATTATTTCAAAGCTTCAGCCTGACATTGATATATTATGGTGAATAATCGATTTGTTCCCGCATCATAACGACCGTACTCCTTCATTTTATTGTAATATTATTGCTATTCGATACATCGATTATCGCATACTTAGTAAAAATACTATAGCTTCGTTTTAGTACTCAGTTAATAAAGAATAAAAAAAACAATAAAGTATAATTATATTATGTTCTAATAATAGTATAAATTACTCGCTTAAATTTTTAGGTGAGCTTAACATAATTATTTATTGTTAATAGGTTAGCTTATATTGTATATAGCTATATAATATGAGTTATTAACTATACCAAAACATTTTTATCTTTTACTTTTAAAAAGGTTACAATATCTTCATTTCATACAAATTTATTGAATTTTAAGAAAACTAATTTTCTTATACTCACTACCTTTGCTATTTTAAAACAGCAGAGCAAAGTTTGTTAGCAAATAAAAAAACTTTATATATGTAAGTTGTAACAAACAACGATTACAAAGACGGGGTTATCAGCTTGTCATAAAATAGTAAATTTTTTAACAGTTTTTCTTATTTTAACTCAAAAGTCTTAGTTATTTTTATATTATATTGCTTTTGTTTAATATAACACTTAGATTGAACTCCATCTAACTTTTTCTCAAAAAATAAGATAGTTTCTCAATAAATATTTTTTTAAATACATATTGAAAATACATCTATCTTAAATAACATTAAAAAATCTATGTAATTTCATGAAAAATAAACTATATAGTTCTAACAAAACTGTTTAATTTATACATAGAGTTTTTTAAGCTGAAATGAAATATTGGTCACTCACGTGGGAACTTGTATTCGTAAGAAACGCGACATTTTAAGTTTTTCATTTTGTAAACTGAGTTACACAAAGAAAAAAGGAAACGTAAAAAAATGAATGGTTTACAGTTTTCGTATCACAAATGCACGAGTAAATAGCTTTATAAATTTAAAAATGGTTATCCAACCAAAGAGGAAATATATGATATCAAAGTGTCCAGTAAGACAGAACAAATTTTATACAAAAGTAAGGATCTAATAGTTAGCCTCCAGACATATTTATATATTCGCGAATTTCGAAGCGCGTTGTGATAATAGCTTATGGTTCCTTTGGGAAACCAACATCCCCAAAGACCATACCATTAAGATTAATAAGAATTACGAGCTCACTAACGAACTAACTCGAAATAGGTTCTTCGTAAATTTAAATCTCTCTACTTATAACCTACAAAAATAACTTGGGCTTGTCCAGAACTAATATCAATTCATTCCTAGAACGTACTTTGAAGGCAGGTTGCTAAAAGGTTCTTTGGGTAGTTAGAGAGAGGACCTTGGACGGTGGAGGTGAGCGTTTAACGCGCGTTAGATTCGGGCCCCTTAAACCTACACCTGGGTCACAAGTCCCAGACACTGTTGAAGCTCCTCTCACTACAACGATAGACCCGACACCTGCACGGTGAATATATTTAATACTAAGAGATTTCGTTACCAAAGACAGTTGTATTATTATTAACCTTTAAAACGTTACCGAATTTCAAACACCAGTTTATACTCTATAACCATTCCACAAATATTTTTCGGACAGTTAAATGTTTATGAGGTTAATATATGTTTAAATGTCGCCCAAACACAGGAAGTGAGATCAGACAGCGTGACTCCATTGTCGATAGCCCACAAGTTCATTGACTAACTGACTCTGTTTTCCGACTGTAATTACATCCTTGTAAATAAAGCTTTGTTTGTTACATGTAAATCAATATAAGATAAAAAACATGGCTGCTTTTAGACGTATTCAAAGGCGTGGGATTTTGTTTCATTTGTGATTAATTATGTGAAATTTTACGTATTTTGATTTGAATTTGAACGAAATAGTTTAACATGTTAATACTAAAGAGTCTATCAATAATGAAATGAGGCGAAAATGTTCTTTGCCTCGCTTTATAAATAAGTACGGAACTTGAAGATTAATGAAATGATATTAAAACGACATTTTAACAAATGTGTAGAATTGTGGATGCAGTGAATATTTATAATATTTTACTCTCTTTTACTGTTTTAATGTTTTTTCCCTTCAATCTCTAAAACGGCTGCTACGATTTTAAATTTATTTTTAGTGATATTCAGCTTATGTAATAAGGAGTAATTTGGGGTGCTATTAACCTAAAAAATATTAAACGAAAGTAAATTGAAATATTCATTCCAATCCCGACGAGTTCTATTATCTTAAAAATTTGTAGTATATTCAAAAATCATAAATAAAATAATACTGACAAACAAAGCCGAACTAAATCCAAAGATTTTCTATTATTATCTAGCATGTGTATTAAAAAATAGATATATTTATATCTAATATAAATAACCATATACTCTCTTAAATAAATACTACCATTACAAATAAATACTACACCTTGGCCGTAGTCAATAATATAAATTATATTAACAGAATTAACCCAACACACCCATTATTTAATAACTAATCTGAAATTCCCAGCTTCAAAAATATTCCCATGACTTGTATCATTTAACCAACATGACATACCCAGTTTCAAAAATATTCCCAGTACTCTAATTTAATAACCAACCTGAAATTCCCAGCTCGTAAGGCTACATCCAGATCATCAGTATCCTCGTAATCATGGCATAGCTGAAGCGTTGAGTTTCTAGCCTCGTGGACATCAAATACAACGGTACCACTTTGTTTATCCGTCATAACACTTCTATAAGACCTGGTGCCAAAACTAGAAACCGCTGGAGTTCCTCTTGGAAATGTTCTTGGTGGAACTGATATACTCTGACTCGGTAGATACTGTCTTTTCAACCTTTTCTTCACATACCTCCTCATCCTCATGGACAGCATGACTCGTATACGTATATGCCGCTTAATATTTCTATCATACCTCAACTGTTCTTTCAATTTCCTATCCCTCTTCCTTCGTCGCGGCACTTCGTCTATTCTCTCCAAAGGAAAGCTCCTATCAACTAATCTGTTTGTATCCAAATTTGGTGATCGATTGAAGAAATCCATATTGTTGTTCTTCCAAGCTTTACTGAGAGACCAGTTCTCGCCGCAAGAAGAATTCTTCACTTGTATCGGTTTCTCGTAAATGTCTTCATCCAAAGCAACCATTCTTCTTGATATCAAGAAGTTATCAATATTCTTTATTATAGTACTATTCTGTGAGCTGACTGTATTTATGAGGTTAGAAGTTAAGGTTTCAGATTTTTTGTCTAATATATCGTTGGTTGGCTTGGTTTCGGGTTGTGTGTTTTTGGTTTTCCGCTTAGCTATAGTCATGATGCGCCTGCGCATGCCGGACATATTAGTCAATTCGCTCTTCAAAAACGGTCCCTTCCTATCTGACGTCATGTCCGGTGACCAGGCAGCGTTTTCGGAGCAGCTACAGAAATCTTTCAATATCCTGGCAATAGCATTGCAACTATCTTCCTTAGGCCGGTCCATTTTTCCATTTTTCTCCTTATTAGTCATCTGATCACATTCACATGAATATTTCGACTTAATTAAAGTGTTCCGTAACTTCCGCGTACACAGAAACTCTCGGATAAATTACGTAAACTTAAAACCAAATTAAACAGTTAATACGCTCGCATAATTCGTGACTTGTATATAAATTTGTCAGTAATTTTGTTTGTTCTTTGTTATTTCGAATTACACTCTGCGTGACTTTGTAATAGCTTTAATAGAAGTCGCGATAATAATTAGAAAAAGTTGTTAATTAGAAATTTTCCTAATAAAAAAATATTTAATATTTAATCTCTAATAATGGCTGATCTTTAATTATTATCACCAAAATCTTAATTATATTCTCGAAGAACGTATATTTTGCTTATAATAACCACGTAAGATAATTCAATCTTGTTACGTAAAAGTTCTAATTATTGTTTAAACTGTCGTAAAAAAAAAATATAGTGTATAAAAGAGTATTTAATAAAAATAACGGTCGCCTAGCGTGTGGTAAACAACAATCGTTCACTTTCCATCTCACGCAGAATGCAAATTATAATAGACATTATTTAATCTGATTTAATTTACCACTATTAATATCAATGCATCAGATATAAAGAAAAAAGATACACAAAAAAGATAGAAACCTTCTTGGTATGCACATTTAGGAATTATTCCGGAAAAAAAAAATAAAAAAATTAGCATTCTAAATTCAAAACACCTGTCGTATTTCGTAAAGTTATATTTATCGCGCCCGTAAGAATAGAAAGTTAATTTGCATTATGTATGTATGTGATTTTAATTTTTTTACAAAAAAATACAAAGTTAATAAAGAAATACTTTTGAATTATTTATACGCCAAAAATTTTAATTGCATAGAAGCAATTGGAGATTTTATGACTGTTCTCAATGAAACTTTAATTAGAGAATAGAGAGCCAACGAACATTTCCATGTTTCAAAAGCAATTTTCTTTTATTAATCAGATTCAACGCTTCCCATGAAATAATTCTTAGTATAAAAAAAGTCTATACGATTTGTCGCATTACTCAAGCACATTAACCTCTCGTTTATAATCAGCAAATAAAATAATTAAACACCAGCCATTATCGAAGATAAAATAACACTAATAAACATAACTATATTCGTCCGTGAAAACTAATAAATATATTAATCATCAAAAACACATAAAACATTAATAACACGACATTTCTGTTACGCAATCGGCAATACATTTCACATTCACTCTCACGCGACGCTTAAATTTTAAAAATCACTTTCGTGTGGACCAAATCGTCTAATTGTCTATGAATATTAAAAAAAATAAATGTCAAACCGTCCGAAACGTCAAAGATACAATGGACGCGTTGGCTGGTAGTTGTAGTTGTAATTTACGAGTGACCATGTCGAAATGAGCGCGTGCATCGACTGAGCGGCCACCTGCCTCTCTCCCATTCCTACATAATAGTCTACATTGTATTAAACAATCGCTCATACGTCTCACTTGTCAATTTGACACTAACCAGACAGTTATTTTATGTAAACAAAGTTTTTTTTTCTTATTGAAGGAAAAGATTTATTCAGTTGATTTTAGTATAAATTTTAGTATTAGGTAAAACTTTGAAATTTAGTATTACAGGTCAAAACTGGTAGACATAATTTTGTTAATTTAATTACATTAAATATAAATTAAAAGAGGATTAAAATATCGAACACTTCAAAATATTACTTTTAAGTAATAAAGCATGAACAACATATTGTTTTCGTTTCTATAGCCTTCAGGGATGAAATTTTATGTAATAAATCATAACAAGAATCCTTTTACCAAATGTTTGTCACGTCGAACTGCACACAAACAGTTTGAAGTTTATTCACGAGCATATTAAACTATCGTTTACGAAAATTTATGACCGAAAATCTCTTTAGTTTTTAATCGTGAATGGGACTCATTAATCTATACTAATATTATAAAGCTGAAGAGTTTGTTTGTTTGTTTGTTTGAAAGCGCTAATCTCCGAAACTACTGGTTCGAATTGAATAATTCTTTTTGTGTTGGATAGTCCAGTTTTCGAGGAAGGCTGTGAGCTATATAACATCACGCTACGACCAATAGGAGTTAATGTGTAAAAAACGGGAGAAATTATTTCATCTTTGAAGCCTTCCGTTGCGTGCGCCGTGAAAACGGTTCAAGATACACAAAAAATATGTAATAAAGAATAATAGCTCTTTTAATGATCTAAAAAACAGTCCGCGACAGTATATGTCTATCTTTTAAGATTAACTCACAAAAACCGTTTTTATGGTACCTAATTTTGTCGAAATAATTTGTTTAAGTTGTATCAAAATAATAATATTAATCTTTATTCATATAAACAAATAAATATGTTGTTAATTAAGAGTACTTATTTCTTAATAAAAAAAAACATAGGTTTCATCCTGAAAATTTTACGGGAACTCGACCAATCCGAAAACCCCGCAAGAACGGGAACAATGTGGGAAGAACCAAAAATCTGTCGGAAGTAACTATTCCACGCGGACGAAGCCGCGGCAAAAGCTAGTGTCTAATAAACACGTAGCTTTTAGATTTAATCATACAATCTATCATACACTGATTTACTAAACAATCATTTAAAATATAAGTATACATTTAAGCTAATTTCACTCTAAATCATATTGTGATAAGTTGCATTTTGAAATGTAATTAAAGAAAACATATAGTATCGAGTAATTCAAAGCATATTATAAGCGATGTAATTTTTATAGCTTTTTAAGATAACTATGAAAAAAATTAAATATTGGTACTTAATCTATTTTTCACATAATTTCATGTGATATACGAGTATAGGTTGTGGTTCTCAAATCACATCTAGACAGAACTAAAACTTCTATATAATACTGTGAAATACTACGAAGCATGCTTATACACATATGTGATATTACAACGAAAAAAAATATTACTGATATTCATAACATACGTAAAGATTTGGGCCTCTCCAGAACTAACATCATTTAAATCTTAGAACATACTTCGAAGGCAGCCCTAGTAGGTTCGTTTCAAAATTTTTAGAGAGAGGAGCTTGGACAGTGGAAGTGAGCGTTTAAAGCGCCTTAGATAAACCTTAAACCTACACCTGGATCGCAAGTCCCAAGCACTGTTGAAGCTCCTCTCACTACAACGATGGACCCGGCACCCGCACGGTGAATACATGGGAATGCTAAGAGGTTTCGTCCCTCTTTTAGTAAAAAGGTAATAGTACATAATATATATAACTTTATTACAGATTATTAAGCTAGGAAACTTCGAAGAATCGCAAGCTATTAAGTTTTAATTCGGCTCTTATCTTATTTATGGCTTTAACGCTACAGCTTACTTCACTAATATCAAGCTGTATGGAAAAACTATATGGTTTTTAAAAGTGTTAATTCTAAAATTAACAGATCTTTCAAAGTTATGCAAATCACTTCTACAGACAAATAGATGATTGATTATCATGAAGAATGCGTGTATTATAAGTCCACATCTTAAACTACGTACGCGGAGTTTTCGTCACTATTGAATTACCTACGTTAGTACTAATAAAAACTATTAACGCAGCGTATGTAATAATTCGCACTCATACTAAACATACAGACGCGATATAAAAACATTAATTACTCAAAGTCAAGTGAAAATTAATTGCCAATTATATATAAATTCTGAAAATTCACTTTCATTGTACAATAGGGAATATTGTTTAATATATTTTGCAAAACACGATACAATATCCGGCTGTGATTACAAATACATTGCTTTCATTAATTATATGTAACGAATTTACTTAATAACTGTTTGTGCAAGCACTACAATGTATGCCTCTTTAGAACTACATACGGAAAAGACGATAGATTTAGATAATCTTACATAGACACAACATGCAATTTGATTTAGGAAATAAACGTGGTCTAAGTATATGAAAGAATGAAAGATATTCTAATTACCTCACTCATCGGACGGAATGAGGGTTTAAAAATAATAATATTAATCAATACGTTTTACTCTAAATATGTATAGATAAAAAAAAATATATAAAAAATAGTTTTTAAAATCACCACAAGATGTCGCTTTCAATAAAGTTCTACCGACATGTTTTCATCACATACTAACTATAAATTAATGCAAAGCAATAAATAAGTATAGGCAACGAGTAATAAACCATTAAATCAATGTACTGCGACGATTGCGTTCGAATGCAAAGTATAATTCGCAACGTATGTATTTCATCAATGACTTACAGTATTACCAAACTGACCATATAACATATTAAAAGTTAAAATAAATACCAACATTCTGATACAATGATGCGGGAACTCCTTTCGACGGATCTCATCGAACAGCCATATCAAAAATAAAGTCACTATTATGTACCACATGGTGAAAAACTTCAAAAAACACAGGACTGTAAAAATACCATAGCACTAGCACAATATATGTTTAGAAGATATATGAGTATGAACATGACGCTTATTGTATTGCATGTGAAAGCAGAAAGATCGCACACATCCAATATGGCGCATTAGAAAACGTTACGCGTATATTTGCAAGACAAATTTGTTATTAATTAAGAACAATGGTCAATGTTATTTGTCACAAATAGTAAATAGAATTCTATAAATCAACAAACAAAGCAACTTAGTTCTTCAAGATAATTTTAAATGCTATAAAACCATTCCGCATACAAAATGGATTGTACGTTCTTGTTGGATTCTTAATAATAAAAATTAGATATTATATTTAATTATGAACATTTAATTCTATCTAATGAAAATAATAATAAACTGAGCGTATAAAATTTTACCGCGTTTTTCACGATTAACTTCGAATAATTGCACGATTTATTTTTTTCGCATTTAAGATACATAAAATAGTGACGTACATTAATTATTTTGAAAATAAAGGAATCGATTCATAAATAATCAACATCAAAATCGATGATTAATATATCATTTAATTGCGAAAGGATTTCAATATAGTTATAATATTTTGTGC